TCTTAAACAGAGCCGAAGAGTCAGGGGAGGAGCAGAGCCGCCATTTTCCCGGACATGTTCGGCTTTTTGGCAATTCCCCCCGGACGGGGGTTTGAGTGCCAAAAAGCCGGACATGTCCGGGAAAAAGAGGACGTATGGTAACCCTATCTAATAGCAATGTAGACATACCCGTAGTGCTACAAGTACTAAGGCCAGCCTCTTTTATAATGCAAATGCCTGCAGGGAGAGGTTAAGATCTCAGTTTCTCTAGAGGTCTGATCCAGCTCTCACTGAAGGGGAGTTTTTCCATTGACCTTAGGGCCTGATTCAGTTCCCATTACCTGCCTTCACTGCTGTCAGACTCTTAGGGCTGCCAGCACTAAGGCCTCCGCTGCCCTCCTCTAAACCTAAGGCAATATCTTTGGACCACCCCTACTGTCTTTCCCTTCTAGCTAAAGCAATCTTGGAACCATCATCAATTATCTTTGAAAACTCATGGAAGATGGGTGAGTTCCCAGAGGACTGGAGAAGAGCAAACATAGCACCTATCTTTCAAAAGGGGAACAAAGGGGACCCAGGCAATTACAGACTGGTGAGCCTAACTACAGTACCTGGAAAGATATTGGAACAAATTATTACATAATCAGTTTGTCAGGATCTAGAGGATAATAGGGTTATAAGGAATAGCCGGCACGCATTTGTCAAGAACAAATCATGCCAAAACAACCTAATTGCCTTCTTGGACTGGGCTACTGGCCTAGTGGATAGGGGAGAAGTAGTCATGATATATCTTGATTTTAGTAAGGATTTTGACGCATTCTCACACGATAGTCTTATAAGCAAATTAGGGAAATGGGGTACAGATGAGATTACTACAAGGTGGGTGCACAACTGGTTGAATGACCATACTCAAAAGAGTAGTTACCAATAGTTTGTTGTCAAACTGGGAGGGCATACCTAGTGGGGTCCCATGGGTCAGTCTTGGGTCCAGTTCTATTCAATATTTTTATAAAGGCCTTGGATAATATAGAAGAGAATATACTTATAAAATTTGCAGATGACACTAAACTGGGAAGGATTGCAAGCACTTTGGAAGACAGGATTGGAATTCAAAATGACCTTGAAAAATTGGAGAATTGGTCTGAAACAAACAAGATGCAATTCAATAAAGATGACTGCAAAGTACTACACCTAGGAAGGAAAAATCAAATGCACGACTACAACATAGGGAATAATTGGCTAGGTGGTAGTACTGCTGAAAAGAATCTGGCGGTTCTAGTGGATCACAAATTGAATATATGTCAACAATGTGATGCAGCTGCAAAAAAGGCTAATATCATTCTGGGGTGCATTAACAGGTGTGTCAAATATAAGACATGGGAGGTAATTATCCCCCCTGCTCAGAACTGGTGAGGCCTCAGCTGGAGTATTATGTCCAGTTCTGGGCACCACACTTTAGGGAGGATGTGAACAAATTGGAGAGAGTCCAGAATAGAGCAACAGAAATGATTAAAGGTTTAGAAAATCTGGCCTATGAGGAAAGGTTAAAAATATTGTGCATGTTTATTCTTGAGAAAAGAAGATTAAGGAGAGGACCTGATAACAGACCTCAAATATGTTAAGAGCTGTTATAAAGAACTCCTTGTCAGAGGATGTTGTGAAGGCCAAGACTAACAGGGTTCAAAAAAGAACTAGATAAACTCATGGAGGATAAGTCCATCAATGGCTATTAGCCAGGAAGGGCAGGGATGGTGTCCCTAGCCTCTGTTTGCCAGAAGTTGGGAATGGGCGATGGATCATTTGATGATTACCTGTTCTGTTCATTCCCTCTTGGGCACCTGGCATTAGCCACTGCCGAAAGACAGGATACTGGGCTAGATGGAACTTTGGTCTGACCCAGTATGGCCATTCTTATGTTCTTATATTCTAAAGAGGACAGTGATCATTTGTTTTCCATGTCCATTCAAAGTAGGACAAAACGTTATGGGCTTAATCTTCAGCAACGGAGATTTAGGATAGACATTAGAAAAACAGGTTGGACAAATACCTGTCAGGGATGGTCTAGGTTTATTTGGTCCTGCTTCAGCATTGGGTGCTGGATTCGATTACTTCTCAAGGTCTCTTCCAGCCCTACATTTCTATGATTCTTCTTTCTGTGCCCATCTCTTTCCCCCTCTACTTTATAATGCTCTGCCCTTTAACTTTGTGCTTCTGTTCGCCAAACACATATATCCTAAATTTCTGATTCTTTTTCCACCCTTCTCATTTCAAGCCAGCAGGTGGCAAGTTGATACCTTTTTACTCCTCTACTCAAGTGCTCTATCTTCCTGTGGGATCTGCTGAGAAAAGGTCTGCCTGTTCATTACCCTCTCACAAGTCCCCCGTGATCCGCAGTGGGTTGGAAATATCAGTTATAGAACCTCAGAGATATATGAAACTGCAGATAAGACAACCATGGAAGATAAATAATAGGAACAGCTTCTCTCTTTGAGAGCACCAACGGGCCAGAAACTAGCTGAAAATCCCCTTCGGTTGAGCAAATTCTCAGCTGGGGTAAAGCTAGTGTAGCTGTCTCCTCACCACCCCTTCTCCACCCTGGCAGAGGAGGACAAGGCAGAACACAGCTCTCCTCCACAAATTTACAGCTGGCATATGGTCTCCTGGGATGATAGGTACATCCCTAGATGGCTCTGATTTATGCTTGAGTTGGGGCCAAAGCTGCGGTGGTTTTGGAATTGGGGTGCTGTAAGTGGCTTCCTGACACCTCTTGCCCTCCTGTGCTGAGACCCCAGTGCAGAAGAGAATCTGGCACGTAAGGCGAGTAACCAACTAACAAGATGATCGGTGGCACAACAGTGTTGTGGTGTGGGTGGTTGTTTTTTGTTGTTGTTGCTGCATGGATTTGGAATTCATCTTATAATTCCAGCTCCCCAGCTAGTGAACAACAGGCATAAGGGTGGATATGGCAAGTTTAGCTGAAGTCTGGTATAAAATTAACCTTTCCCAATTAATGGGCACAACTAATGGCTGCTTTGGAAAACAGATGCAGATTTAGTTCTAGCTAGAGAAGAAATACTGCCATTGCACTTGACATCATAACTGAAAGAAGTGGTAAAAGTCTTGAGAGAAAATGGAGGATAACTGCATGAAATCCTTAGTTCTCACCAGTTTGTAGGCATTACCTTTTGACACAGAAAGTTCAGCTAGTTTGTGTGGCAGGTCTGAAGTCCCTGCCCCAGCCCCAGCAGGAGAACCCAGAATATCTGGTAAGGCATTTCGGCGGCCTGCCCTTCCCGATGCTGCAAAATCTGTGACCACAGGCTCCACATCAGTCATTTCTAACTTCTTTCTTCATAGCAACATCTGCAGACAGAACACACACCAAAAAAAAAGCTGTAGTCTGTCTTGAAACATGCAGTAATCCTGTTACTCAACAATGGAAGGCAGTCAGCTTCTGAACAATCAAATACCAATGGCTTGTGAAAAGTGACTAACTAGTGCTTTCTTAATAAATGTCACATACTTCAATACCCTGCTGCCATAACTTTATCTATGCTCTGAGAAAACATTTCACTGTTCATTTCCTTCTGTTTCTATTTGTACTTTAGCATCACAAACACAGACTAGCATAATGGATAGCTCTCAGTACCAACAAGGTACCTATAAATACAGGCAGCCTTTCTATGAGCCACTTGTGTGTGTGTGTCCTGATCCCTTTTCTTTTTTTTTTCTCTTTGTAGGTGGTTTTACCAGACAGTCACTTGGAAGGGAATTGAAACTCTGCCTTGCTATGTTGTCTCTGAGGAACAGTCAGTGGGTTGTATTAATTAATAATTAATCATTATTATTATTGTCCTTATTTAGGCTGAAACAAAATCCTTCCACAATTGGAGCAAGGTGTAAAGAAAGGACTCTGTGCTTTAGTTCTGACAAAGAACTAAACATAAAACCTCACAATTCCACAAAAGTCCTTTATCCTGCAAGTACAGGTGCTTTTACTTTGCCCTGTTCCCATAGAAATACTTTTAGTAGGTTTAAATAAGACATGTTGTCTCTTACAAATAATGTCCTTGTGTAAATAGGTAGAACCAGTATTTCCCTATGCACTAGAAGCCTGCTTCAAAGCCCACTGAAGTCAGTGGAAAGGCTCCCATTGACTGCAGTGGGCTTTGGATCTAGCCTTAGGGGACTGAGAAAAGTTATTTGCATGCAAAAGTGTTTGCAGGATCTGGCCCTGGCATATCAGCTGAGGTGGGAGTGTCTGCCCCCAAAGGGGCAGGACAGGGTGGGGTGGGGGGAATAGTGTTTCAAAGTGTAATGTCTATGAATAGTTTGTAACAATTACAAATAATAACTGAAATTAACAGCAACAAAACAATTTGTCCATGATATAAATAATTTGTGGTAACAATAAAAGTAATTTCTATCAATCAAATACTAATTGCTCCATTTAAAGTAATATTTACTTCCTTTTGGGGAGTTTGACTGTCTTTTTTATAAATATGGTCAATACTTAAAATGGGGAAGGGAGAGGAGGCGTGATCTGAAGACTAGGAATTTTGAGGTTCTTACCCTGACATTATTCATGGCAATTGTCCCTATTTAAAGAGATTTTTTTTAAAGGAAAATATAAATCATCTTGCCACTCTGTTTCTCCTGTCTAGACGGCTGCTTATAATATGTTTCATTTCTATAGCACTTTTCACTTCAGACGCATAAAGCATTTTATAGTCACTAGTACTGTCAGCCTCACAACACCCCACTGTGGTAGGTCAGAGTTAGTATCTCCAACTGAGGCAGGTAGATGAAACATGATTTGCTCAAGGTCACACAGGAAGGCTGTGGCAGAGCCAGAAATAGAACCCATTTCACCTGACTCCTAGTCCTGTGCTTCAGCCACAAAGATTATCCTCCCTTCTTGTAAACTCCTTGCAGTTGTTTAGCTTCAACTTCAAGCATAAATATTCTAAATTCATCTTTGCATTTGTCAAGAGCTAAATATACTTTAAAAATTAATGGCCAGTAGTGACAGGCATGAGCAAACTGTTTCATATGACATGAATGTGTAAATGAACCACTCTATTTAAACAAGTGCAGCCACTGTAAGTGCAGGTTTGGTGGGCTAGTGGAACCTTCCTGCCTTGAATGGTTACAGGTTCAAATCCTCACCAATCTTGCCCAGATATGATTTAAATAAATATAAACTGATATAATTATCCATCTAATATGCTACCCTGACAAGAAATGCTGAGAGGAGAGATTACGCATTGCATATACATTATTCATCATAAATATTTGTCTGTTTTTACTTACTTCCTAGAGGAGTTCTGCAGTTATTGCTCATGTGCTTAGTCTTCTCATGACAGCAAGGAAAGAGGCTGGAAATCAGATTTCAAAACAGAAAAGAGCAAGACTATAATCAGTGTCCTTCTTAGCCATTAAACTTTTAAACATTGTTACTTATTCCTGGTGCCCAGCCCCCAGTACCACAGCAGCTCCTTCCTCTTTTGAGCTAGCCAGTCAGGTATTGTGGTGGATCTAGCCAGTCAGTATTGTTCCTCTTTGACTGCTGTTTTTTAAAGATAAGTGTTGTTGTTGTAGCCATGTTGGCCCCAGGATATTAGGGTGGCAAGGTGGGTGAGGTAATATCTTTTATTGGACTAACTTTTGTTGGTGAGAGAGACAAGCTTTCAAGCTGCTTAGCTCAAAAACTTGTCTCTCTCACCAACAGAAATTGGTTAAATAAATTATCTCACCCACATTGTCTCTCTATTTATTTAAAGAAGCAGTTCAAAATTGGCCTCTGTTTTTAAAGGCCACAATGGAGGTCTTCCAACCTATGTCATGTACCTGATCTCTCCACTCTTTTCTCTCAGGAACTGGCACCTCTGTCCCCCAATATAATTTGTGTATAGGAACCTCTCCAGCTACAGCTCCTACCATCTGAAACAAGCTTCCTGTATGGTATAGTCTCCTTTCATCTACCTCATTTCAAATTTCATCTGAAAACCTTTTTTCTCCATTATTCCCTCTTTTTTCTCCCTGATACAGTTTATCTGACTGTAATTGTATTCTGTAACTCTGGAAAGCATTTTGACATACAGTTTGCATCTGTTTTATTTTACTTAGATTTAGATTTATACATTCAATAAAAATGTATCTGGTCACTGCTCTAGGCACTTCTGAGAAAAACTGAAAACACAGCCCCTCAATGTCCACCAGTCCAGCATCCTGGTTTTGTGGCCAGTGTATTGCAGTGTAGCCAGCCAAAAATTAATCAAAAATACCCCATGCTACCCACAAACACCTCCACTCATTTTCTCCTCCCTTTCCAGCATTGCTGAAAGGTCAGTAGATTTAGGATATTTCAGATCAAAGGGAGGAGTGAGCCAAAAAGTTGAGGGCCACCCAAAACATCCTGCCTGAAGCCCTTTCTCTTTTAACCCCAGGGTGCTCCAGCTCAGACTCCTCTAATTACAGCTGTGGTTATATGGCATGAAGAGAGAGGTTGTCCCTCAGGTAGGCAGATTCTAAACTTTATAGTCCAAAACCAACACCATAACTCCACCTGGAGACCAACAGGCATGTATGAAAGACCCTATTCAGAATAATAAGGCATTGTATTGTATAAAAAAGCCCATATTTTAATATTGTCAGAGATTTATTTTCCTAACTCTCTTTTACTATAATGCTTTCTGTGGCCCACTTCCTCCCTTTCCTATGGTACCCTTGTACCCCTCTATTGTCCTAGCCTGTGTAGGTAGAGCTGGGAACTACTCTGTCACTATCTATTGTAGCCAAGTATCTGAAAAGGTCTGGTGTGCCGTAATGTCTCAGTTTCAGTCAATGGGTGGGGGAAAGAAATAGTCAATTACAGTGTGATTTGTCCATAGTCCAGGTAAAATTCATCATTGTAGCTATCAGAAGCTTAAACAGGCATATTTTGGATACTTGGACAAAATATTGACAGGCAAACAACTAATATTTTTTTTAAGTGAGATTGCTGGCTTATTTTTACTTAGCTGCAGGACTTTCTGTCAGTGGCATACCCACCATTCCAGTCTCCTGAGAGAAATGATTCACAGAAGCTGACAGGGTTTATTAAAAACAAATGCCAAAGGAAGAGACCAAATTACTTTCTTTAAAGTCAACATCACTCTCAGGATCAAGAATAAAGTGTTTCATGGTGAATGGGAGTAATAGATGCCCTGACCCATATTCACTGTCAGCAATGTCTCTCTCTCACTCTATCAGGAAGCAGACAAATCACTGATACACATATTTTTGAAGCCTTTTTTCTCCCAGTCTTTTCCCTGAATGCAAGGCTTACTCACAGACACATTACTGTGGTTATTCTGCTTGGGAGGACTGACTAATCCTCATGAAATGTCATAGTGCCTGACATTGGTATTGCTGCCAGTTCACACAAGAAACAGAAAGAAAAAAACCATCTCCACTTGGTATTCTTAAACATGTCTGTCTTTTCTAAATCTTCACACCTGGTTCTTAGGAAAATACACTTTCTGCCCGCCGTCAAAGAGAGAATTATATTCCTTAACACTGTCATCTTTTGAAAGTCCATATTTTAAGAAGCCTTCCTGTATCAAAGAACTACACTCAAGAACATCTGGAAAAGAGTTAATGGGCCAGCGCCATATTAAGATTTATTCTCAAAAAGAACAGGAGTACTTGTGGCACCTTAGAGATTAACAAATTTGTTAGTCTCTAAGGTGCCACAAGTACTCCTGTTCTTTTTGTGGATACAGACTAACACGGCTGCTACTCTGAAACCAAGATTTATTCTGTATCTTGATGGACTCTCAATGCATGGTCAGCATAATTTAAGTCATAATTTATTCATGAAAAGCTTTGCATTGTTTTCACTTGTAAATAATAATAATACTTTGTGCTCTTATAGCATTTTTCTCCAAAGCTCTCTGGCTACAAGAGGGTTTTCATGTGACAGCAGCCTAGGCCCCTATTAAATGATATACTGCCTGCAGTGCAAACGAGAGGAAAATGACACCTTCTTAGCTATGCAATTCCTGTGTTTTCATAACCTCTTATGTTGTGATACGCTCTGATGGCAACACTACCTACTCCTAAGAATTTCTTCTATACTTTGGACTCCCTCATAATATATGCTAATACTATTGCTGGTGGGAAGAGGGAAACATTTGAAGAGCTTGCTACCACCATTGTATCTCCCACCATATGAGGAGTCTGCTATCAAATATTCCAGTTAGACTGTATCCTGGGAGTTTGTCTCAATTCTTCACTGTTTCTGGACGCCAAATTAGTTACAGCTGCCAAAACCCTGTCACCTGAGACCAGTTAAGTGGCTGCAGATGATGGCTTAGCCAATTCTAGCCATTGTGACTTCCAGGTTGGGTCCATGCACCTCGCTGTACTTGGCAATGAATGTCCTGACCTTAAAAATACTCTGATTGGTCCAAAACACAGCAGCCTGGCTCCTAGGCAACACCAGCTTTAAAGAGCTCATCAACCCACTGCTCTGTTCTTTCCACAGACCTCCCTCCCCATAGAAAACCAACATATTGACCCTCTTTTTAAGACCTTCTATGGCAATGAGCCAATGTGTGCTCTCAATAAGGGACCAAGACCTCCCTCAGTAGTGACATTCCACAGGAACAATGACATTTTCACCCTTGAAGTTGACACTCACAAGAGCAGGGGAGAGACTGGTCTAAGCAACTGTCCAAAGACTCTGGAATTCCAGAGGAGGGAAGAATGATCACAGATCTCAAGGCCCTTACAAATAAATGTAAAACTTATTTCTTTATCCTAATCTTTCCCCAATAACACCCAGAGCAACACCAAAGAAAAAGAAGAAGAAGAAGAAGAAGAAGAGAGGAAATTACTTTCCAGCATCTTCCTATGGAGGAGGGAGAGATTGAGCCAGGGTCCAACAAATGAGTTCTCATTAGTTCATTTTGGGGAAATATTCAGCTATCTATAGTACCAAACAGGAACCTAGACAGATAGATACATGGATAGCACTTTTCATCAAAGGATCTCAGTGTGATTTTCAAATGTGAATAAAACTCACAACACACTGGGAAGGAGAGCATTGTAACTATTTTACAGATGAGTAAAGGGAAGCACAGACAAGTGTAAGTGACTGGCACAGTGTCACACATGGAGTCAATAACCAAATCCAGGTGTCTTGAGCCCCACTTCCCTATGCTAACCACTGAACAACACCCTTCCCAATAACAAACACGCAAAAGTGACTCAAACCACAGAAAAATTAAAGCAGAAAGGAAAATAAAATCCTCAACTTGGATTTCCCCCCATCCCTTTACTTTCTTAATGGATGACAACAGTGAAAGCAAGGACATGGCAAAGTGGTTTTCCCCACATCCTGAGCGCTGACCACATGGGCCTCTGCACTCTACTTCGTGACTCAGAAAGAGAAAGCACAAGTGCCATTCCACACAGTGAGACTGAATTACATCCCTGTGTCATCCTTTTCAATCCATTAACAATGAAGCAGCATGTATGAGTTTTTCCACAACTCTTGACATATTCTTAGTCTTATGTAGTTATACTGGTTACTTATGAGCTTGGGGATAACACTTAACCTTTGTTATTTGTACTCAACAAGTTTTTCATTCCTTTTGGCTCCCTCTGTTCTCTGAAGCTTGACATGTTTGTGTTCCTGCTTGGGTCTTACGTTCTGGACCTGACACTTACTTGTTATGGCATTTGTGCACTGTGGAATTTCCAGCTATAGGGCTTCTTTTGAATCTGCTCCAAGCTGACGGAATGCATTTCCATATGATTCTCTTAGGCCTGGTCCACTCTAACCCCCCACTTCGAACTAAGGTACGCAAATTCAGCTACGTTAATAACATAGCTGAATTCGAAGTACCTTAGTTCGAACTTACCGCGGGTCCAGACGTGGCAGGCAGGCTCCCCCGTCGATGCCGCGTACTCCTCTCGCCGAGCTGGAGTACCAGTGTCGACGGCGAGCACTTCCGGGATCGATCCGGGATCGATTGCTTACGGCCGGACCCGAAAGTAAGTGTAGACCTGCCCTTAGTGTTTTTAAGGTCACACTTAAAACATGGTATTGTTGGTGTTGCACTCCATATGTTTTATGGAAATATGCTTATGAGTATGAATATGATGTAACTGGAATATGCTTTATGCAAAAGGCCTCTTATAAGGTATTATAACAAAGGTTATAAACAATTCTTCCTATTTGCATGATTGTATCATTCTTGTATCTGAAGCTAGAAATATGAAGTATAACTCTGAGGTCCTATTGTAATTATGCAAAGTGTGGGCCATCAATGGTGGTTTAGAATCTTAATGCTCCCACTGATTAGAACAACTGGTTGTAAATGGTTTA